GCTGAGGGCCCCGTGAGGATAGGGTAGGTTCAGGCCCTTGGCTGCGGCTGGCTGTGGGAGGAGGGAGGCAGAGACGCAAGCCTGACCCTCCCTCTAATCAGATCCTCCGGGATTCTCTGCTCTGCCGTGTGCTCAGCCCTTGCACAAGCCACACCTCATAACCAGGCCTCCCGACCTCCGTACCACGCTATTTGGGCTGGATCATTCTGTGGTGTGTGTGGGGGTGGAGGGGTGTGCACACAGGGGAGTGGGGCTGCCCTACGCATTGCAGGGTGATGAGCTGCATCCCTGCCCTACTCAGGAGCTAACTGCAGCACCTCCCTCCCCTCCCTGTAATAAGCAAGAGTCTCTGTCACTGAGGGGTGCCCCCTGGAGGGTATAGTCTACTCAGCTGAAAACCGCTGTCCTAAACCTGTTTTTATGTTTGTTAAAGGTTTATTTGCTCCATAAGTGAGGAAAACAGAGTCAGACCCCAAAACAGGGTCCCCACACTGCAATCCACTTTCAGCTTCAGCCAGTCCTGGGTCATGGGTACACATGTACACCCAGCATGGTCAGGAAGGTCTCTAGACTTGAACTTGGAACTTCCCTGGGCGGGAATGCCTCCCAGAGCAGAGCACTTTACCACTGCACCACTCTCTGGCCCCAACTTAATTGTTTTTTTCTATTACTTCTTTTCTTTAAGAGCATTTTTGCTATAGGGCTTGTACACTCGCCAGAAAGGCAGAGAGAGACAGAAAGTGAGAAATCACCCCCCAGGGGAGATAGCCTCACTGTAATCCTTTCTCCTCTCGGGATCTTAGGCACACATGCACACATGCCCAGTGTGAGTTTAAGCTGCCTGGTCCAGGACTCAAACCTCAGTCAACTATGTGAGAGTCCAGCGACGTAACCCTTACACCAGCTGCTGGTACTACCCAACTTAAATTTGTATCCACTGACTTTATTTCACTGTCTCTATTTTCTTTTCTTTCTTTATTTATTTAAATTTGACCAGAGAGGGAGAGAGTGAGAGAGCAAGAGAGGGGGAGAGAGAGAGAGAAAGCAAGCTACCAGGTCCAGGACTTGAACCATGGTTGGCTATGTGGGAGCCCAGTGTCTTTAACCATCACGCCACCTGCTGGCACCTTCTCTCTTTTCTTTTTAGTTGCCAGAGGATACGTGTGTACCAGAGAGAGACAGACACAGAGGGAGGGAGAAAGCCCCTCCAGTGGCTGTGGTCACACTGCAATCTTGCCTCCAGTTCTCATTCTGTCTAGATCTGGGGTATGCACCCATATGCACCCACTGTGTTTCTCAAGCCACTGGGACCAGGATTCAACCTGTGGTCCGCCACGTGGAATCTGGTTTCCCTTAACTGCTAGGCTATAGGGTTGACCCACCATCCTGCTGTGTAGCCAAGGCAATACTCCACAGTCAGGAGGTGGTCAAATGAGGCTTCAACCCCTTGTCAGCCCGAATGGAAATCCCTTTGTTTCTACAGCCCCGCATTATAAACAGACACCCTGTCCCAGGACCCCAGCAGCCCCCTCCTGCAGCCCAGCCCACAGCCGAACACAGAGCAGAGACTGACTCAGCAGGTGCCCAGGGCAGGGTCTGTATGCACGGGAGGCCCCATTCACCCCCACGCCGACACACGGACTTCTCCACTGCAACTCGCGTCAAAGCTTTATTTGCTATTTCCGTGGTCTGAATGCAACATCTTTGTACATGCAGAGGTCATCTTGTTTAATCGCAGTCGACAGGGATTTCCAACTGCTCTTCTGTGCCTATGGAACCTCTATACAGTTACAAAATATAAAAGCACTTGTAGACATCCAATACTCTGTGAGGTCCGGGAAGCCCCATTTCATTTTACATTAAAAATATAGGTTTTTCTAGATGAATTCTCAGTCGCATAATTACAGATTCGTTCTGGGATTGGCTAAAGTGCCTCTTGTCCGCCTTCCGTTCAGAACTCCTCGAGTTTGTGAGTTCATAAGGCAAATTACAAGAACGTCGCAGGCAGGAAACGGAACTTCCTACCCCTGGAACTCAAGTTCTTTTTTCTATCAGGACTCAACTCTTGAGGAAGTTGAGGAAGGTTAGAAAATATATACTATGAGTCTCTATAGTTCCACTCTCCCCGCATCCCACCTTACAAAGCATTTTGAGGGGCAGGGGCACGGGAGAAGTACATGCCTTCTGGGGTATTGCTCTGACTGAGCAAACGTCACAGTATACAACATTCCGTAACAGGATCGATTCATTTTCCTGAGCCCCCTCGTTGCAGGATCTCTAAGGCTGGGTGGAATTCTAGAATTTAGAATTCTCTAAAGCGCGAATTCTTCTTTCTACAAGGGTGCCGCCGGGGATTGTCAAGAAAGTGCCGGTCCGAGTCATGGGAGAAGCTGTTACGTGTAAGGGCAACTGGGGAAGGAGATCCTGGGGGGGCTGGAGGTGTCCCCCTTTCGAGGGTTAACATCTCGACATGACAGAGAACTCGGGCAGACTTCCCAGGGCAGAGGGCTTGTCTGCCCCCTTCCTGCAGAAGCCCACCCAGACAGATAAAGAGAAAGCTCTGGAGGGGGCTGGGGCCGGAGAGTGGTGGAGACACCCCCATACACATGCTAGCTTTTTACATGGCTGCAGGCTCCCCGAGCCTTAGCCTACCAGGAATTCCAAAGGGGTGGCTCCTAGCAGCGTCTCAGCACAGAGCGAGGGCCCACTGTTCTCTAATGGGATTGTCCCCTGGGTACGAGTGGGTCCCGCCTGCTCCAAGCACAGAATCAGCAGCCCTGAGAGCTCCACTTGCATGTTTCAATGTGTGGTTGGGTGTGGGGTGGGGAAGGCACACCGAGAGGCTAGAGATGTCTCCCCATCACACAGGGACTTGCCAGGGCCCACCGTTCTCTAATGGGATTGTCCCCTGGGTACGTGTGGGTCCCGCCTGCTCCGAGCAGAATCAGCAGCCCTGAGAGCTCCACTTGCATGTTTCAATGTGTGGTTGGGTGTGGGGTGGGGAAGGCACACCGAGAGGCTAGAGATGTCTCCCCATCACACAGGGACTTGCCATGGCTCAAACACCAGAACTGGGGGGAGAGACTTCTGCTTTAGAATGATATTTACTTCTGTGGGCATCGGATGAAACCGTGTAAAACAGACCGACCAGGCAGCCGGACAAGGTGGGAGTGGCTACATCGCACTCTAGCTTTTCCAGATCCCTTGTTGGGGGTCTAAGGTTCGACCCTTGGGCTTACTCCTGTTTCTGTTTCCATTCTGCAGCAGGACCCTAAAGCTGGCCTCACGTCAGGGTTCACAAAGGAGAACACATTTGTCCGAGCCCGTACGACGTGGCTCGGCTCCCTAGAAAACCTCCTCCCACCCCCTCAATCTGATTGTCCTGTCCCTGACTCCCAGGCAACCCGAGGCTGTCAGTCCAGCCTCACTCAAACCTCAACATCTCAAATACCGAGAGGTTTCTCCTTCACCGGAATGACTAAGCAATTCACCACAACACTGATTTTGGTGTGGAATTTCACTGGCCAGATACCTGTTTCATTAGGCAAGGGACCATGAAAAAAGGTGTCTAGGGATGGGGAAAAAGATATAGATTTATCAAAAGACAAGCTGTCAAAATGCTGTGTGCAAAGGAGGAGAGAGAGAGGCAGGCAGAGCGCAAGAGACCTGCACACGTAGGAATTTGCATTCTGCATTAAGACTCTCATTTGAGGAGCGCCGAAGCCCTGGGGGACGAGGGCTGGGTGGGGGACAGGTGATTTGATTGCACACGGATGATTAAGGCATCATTAAGTTAATACTAAGGAGACAGATCTCCAAAGGGGACCCCGCGCAAACTGGAGAGACAAGCAGACAACCCCTTGCTGGCCTCCCAAGAGCTTGCCCAGTTTAGGAAGAGGAGAAATCCGTAGCCCCTTGCCCAGCTCTCTGCACAGAATCCTGAGTGTTGGTCACTCCTAACGTCATTGCACTGATCAAGAGCAGGACTCAGAGGTCACAGAGAACCTGCCCAAAGAGGGTCGCTCCTGACCCACCGTGATTGTCTACCCCATGACACTGAACAAGGGGCTGTGCAGAAGGAGAAGAAGAAGAAGAAGAAGAAGAAGAAGAAGAAGAAGAAGAAGAAGAAGAAGAAGAAGAAGAAGAAGAAGAAGAAGAAGAAGAAGAAGTTGAAGAAGAAGAAGAAGAAGAAGAAGAAGAAGAAGAAGAAGAAGAAGAAGTTGTTGAAGTTGAAGGAGACCTTCAGGGCATGTCCTGGTCAGTTCCAAGGGGGTGGATGTTTACGTCCTCACCGACACAGAATTGAGTAGATTTTTCTTCTAATCAAGATGTGAGGGGTTAGGCAAAAGGCTCCCATGTTTATCGCATTTCCCAATGTTTTGCTTTCCGGGCAGGTATACTTGGATTAACACTGACAGGCGACTAACTGAAGAATGGAGTTTCACAGGGTGAGTGTCCACATACCCAGGAGCAGGTCACTCCGTGAGATGCCCAAGATGATACCCAGGGGCCCTCCCACTGAAGGAATGACAGCAGCCAAGAGAAGACGTTGGGGGTCAGAACGCTAGTATTGGGTTTTACAGAAGGACCTTCTGGCTTGCAAAGCCACCACATCAAAATCCTTACAAAACATGAACTGGGTCTTAAAGGAAAAAGCAATAATAGTTAACTGAAGCAGTTCCTGGAGGAATTCAGTCGCCAACAGTCAGACTCAGGGAATGAGGAGGATGCAATCGCCAAGCAGGGTGAAGCTTCCAGATGCACGGGGTTGGAGGGATGACGGGGTCCAGCAACTGCCCCACCGATGGCCAAAGTTCAGTAGCTGGACTCAGCCGGAAGTTGGGGCCCTGCCACCGCTGTCCGTGGTGCTGAACCACACCCACCCCCGAAGAAGCAGGTGTCTGCCTAATTTACAGCACGGAAGATGGGGACCCATTCCCCACTGCACTCCAACAAAGGGAAGAGGCAATACAGGGCGATTAGGGAAGAAGGCAAGATGGGGAGACAGATGGAGACTCTGAGGGGTGGCCAGGGAAGAGGGGCGAATCTATTTGCAAATAATGAATTTACCAAGGAAGACTTTCACCACTTCCATGGCTCGCTGGTGCTGGGCACGGACCCACCGGGAGACAACATCCCAGGAGCCCCAGCCATCGCAGGCTGCGCTATGGATTTACCAAGGAAGACTTTCACCACTTCCACGGCTCGCTGGTGCTGGGCACGGACCCACCAGGAGACAACATCTCAGGAGCCCCAGCCATCGCAGGCTGCGCTATGAACTGTCCACACACCTCCCCGGTGGGCATCTCCCAAGAAGGTTGGCACCAAGTTTATGGCAACTCCAGGCCTTGTAGGGGTCAGCTGAGCTCATCTGGGATGTTGGCTGCAGCCATGGGCTTTGGAAGCGGAGGAGGCCATGTTGAATTCCCCCAGAAAGGACAGAGGAGTATGTCCAGAGCCCTCAAAGGTCTGGGAGATTCCCGGGAGTGAGCTGAGAGCTGGCAAGAAAAGACAGAGGCAAGGCAAGACAAGCCTCACACGGCCCCACCTAGCTTCCAAAACTCAGGACCAGAGGCCCTGCCCTGGGGGCTCCTCTGAAGAGAGAGGCTTTGGGCAAGTCCTAGATTAGGAAAAAAACAGAAACAAATAACCCTTGGTCAGGTGGACTTGGGAACAGAGGAGGGTGAAGAGAATATAAGCAAAAAGTACCCCTCACTCCTACGTGTTCCGAGGCCAATCTGGAATGCCTACTTCCTTCCAGCAACCTGAGTGATGATTAAAAAAACTCCACGGAGAAAGATCCCTAGGCCAAGTGTGACATTTCAGGGCAAAGGCACCACCATTGGGGCTACAGTTTCTAAAGCCTTAAAGCCAAGGGACCCACAGAAATCAGAACTCAAATGAAAACAAATCAGAAAAATACATACATGGGTGACAATGACACACCTGTAAAAGCGGGGATAGGGGTGAGATAACCTGAGGTGATCGGATACTTCGAAGCAAACTATTCACACGAGTAACGTCAAAACATATGTACAGATCAAGTTTCAAAGAAAATTGGCTAGATTATTGCTTTATCGCCTTCTAAAGCAAACGACAATGACGAACAATGACACAGGCCAGCTAAGCCCCCATTGGGAAGATAAATACTCGGAAGAGTGAGGGTAGGTTTTAGAAATCAGAACTGCTGATTCCTGGGAGGGGAAAGGAGCTCACCCCCGAAGCAATCAAGAAACCCAAACCAGCAGCACTGCCTTGGGCTGGGACCGCGACCAAAAATAAACGGTTTGATCTTCCTTGGAAATGTCCTTCCAGAAAGCGTCCGGCCCTGGGGTGTGGTGAAGAGGTGCTTTCACAACTCAGGTGCTTTGCAGAGTGAAGGGAGCCAGTCGAGCCTCACGTCGATGTCCCTGGAGCTGCTGAAGGTGTCGAAACGTAGGTAGAAAATGCACATTTGAACATACGCACCAGCGGGGCCATTTCTGGGCAGCCTGACTTCTTTCCCTGCCTTAAGTGCTATCTAGGAAGATGAACGGGTATGTGTTGAGAATGGGCCTTCTGGTCCGGATCCGGGGACACTGCACAGTGGTCCTCGCCCCGCAGGCAGCGTCCAGGCACGTCAGCTTGTGCAGGAAGGAACGGCGGCCACTCGGCCTCGATTGCAGGTTCTGACAGTTAAGGCTTCTGATAATCAGATGTGGCGGTGTCTCCTGTCTGGAGGGGAAGGGACAGTCCTGGTGTCAGCAGTGGGAGCCACCGGGGGCCCCTTTCTCTCTCTCATCAGCCCCTAAAGCCTTTTCTAATATTCTCCAAGAAAGCCACCCCTCACAAGTATTCTCCAAGAAAGCCCCCCCTCACAGGGTTTTTTTTTTTTTTTTTTTTCTTTAATTTGGGGAGAGGTAAGGTGAGAAGGGTGGTGAGCAGCCTGACAGGGCAGAATGAACATAAAATTTAGAGTCAGATCAGAGTCCCAGGCTCCAATTCCTCAAATGGATTGCTGGAGGCCTCCACGAGTTATCACAGAGAGCACAATAAACACAAAATAGAGGGCCCAGCAGTTAGCATAATGGCTATGTCGCTGGACTCCCACGTAGTCAACCGTGGTTCGAGTCCCAGACCTGGTGGCTTAAACTCATGCCAGGTGCGTGTGCGTGTGTGCCCAAGATCCCGGGAGGAGAATGGAGGAGAAGGGATTGCAGCATGGCCATCCCTCCTGGGGGGGGGGTAATTTCTCGCTTTCTGTCTCTCTGTCTCTTACTGTCTTTCTGGCAAGCGCACGCTCCTTGTAGAAAAAAAAAAAAACTCTCAAAAACAAAAACATGCAAAATAGACACAGCTCCTGATCCCTTACCCAACCCCCTGAGTACAGATGTATTTGGGAACTTACTTTGTGAGTTTATAACATACAAGTGTATATGTATCTATATGTACTCACCCACCTATATAAATGATAGGTAACGTCAATACCCATGCATCATGGAACGCCCCAGTGGAGCACACACATACCCACAGGGTACTATGAAAACTCGCGTAGTGTGGAAGGCAGAGTCCAGCTAAATAGCGTTCTAGTCACTCAGCCCAGGCCTGCGGCTGAGTAATTCCGGGACAGCTCTGAACTCCAGGAGGTGGTGCGCAGCAGGAACACAGCTCCACCCGAATGGGAAGGTTCTGGGTTTGGCATCCCGGGACTTCCCTGAGAATGTTGGGCACGCATGTGCCCGAGACTCCTGGGCTGGCTGAAACTGGGGAGAGGGGAGACTGTGACATGGGGACCCTGCTGGGGATGCCTCCCTCTCTCTTTTATAGAAGTTTTTGTTTGTTTATTTCATTGTTTTGTTTTGTTTTGTTTATTTTTTGCTAGGTTGTATGTGTGCTCACTAAAGAGACAAAAAGAGAAAGTTGGAAATTAACCCCTAGGCAGGATGGCCACACCGCAGTCCCTCTTCTCCATTCTCCTCTGAGGATGGGGGGCATGCGACCACACACACAGCTTGTTCCTCAAGCTACCAGGTCAGTCTAGGACTCGAACTGCACACGTAGCCACATGGCATCCAGCTACCTCAAATCCCACATACAGCCGACCTAATCAATAAACTTTAAAATAATTAAAAAGGGGGCCAGCAGGTTGCATAGTAAGTAAAGTGCTGGACTCCCACACGGCCAACTGTGGTTCAGGTTCTGGACCCAGCGGCTTAAAAATCAAACCTGGGGGACCAGCAGATGGCGTAACGGTTACATCACCAGACTCCCATATAGTCAACCATGGTTCAAGTCCTGGACCTGGCAGCTTAAAACTCACATTGGGTGTGTGTGCGTGCATGCCCGAGATCCTGAGAGGAGAATGCAGAAGGGACTGTGGCATGGCCATCTCCTCTGGGGGGTGATTTCTCTCTTTCTCTCTGTCTCTCTAGCGAGCACATGAGCACTTTAGCAAAAATCTCTCTCTCTTAAAAAAAAAAAAAAAAACCCACCAGACTCATGTGCATGCGTGCTCAAAATCCTGAGAGGATAATGGAGGAGCAGGGATTTCAGCGTGGCCATCTGCTTTGGGAGGGTGATTTCACACTCCCTCTCTGTGTCTCTCTGTCTCTCTCTAATGAGCACATGCACCCTATTATTAAAAAAAAAAATTTTAAAAGAAACAGCTTCGCACTCAGGGCCTTTGGGAATTTAGGCCCATGGCTGAGACGTGGACCTCTGTGCCAACCACCTCCCAGCTGACGCTGACGGTTCACGCTGCCTGCTCATTTTCTCAGCCCGGCACTCGGGTGTGGGCTCAGTGGGCCCTCGGGACCCCTTGGCACCATGGGCACTGTCAACCCATCTTACAGATGAGGGAACCAGCTGACAAATGCAAAGTCATTTGGTACTTTTACCAGGGCATAGCGAATCATTTGTTTTTTAAAATATGTTTTCAATTTAATTTCTAAAGTATTATAGGCCAGAGGGTGCATACGTGTGCGTGAGAAAGAGAGAGAGAAAGCACCGCCCGAGGGGGCTTGGTCACACTGCAGTCCTTTTCCCTCCATTTCCCCATCCCACCAGGGTCCTGGGCACATGCCCACATGCCCAGTTTATGTTTTCCAAGTTACCAGGGCCAGGATTCGAACCCTAGTTGGCCATGAGGACTCCGGCTCCCTTTGGACAATGCTTAATCATGCTAAAGTTGTAGATATTGTATTTATTTCATGAGAAAGAGATACAGAGAGAGAGAGACAAAGACAGGGACAGACAGACAGACAGGTACCTCCAGCAGGGTCCTTAAGCTGCTACCCACTCCCAGGCTCAGCTGGCCTGGGTCACGGCATGTGTGTGCCCAGAGAGGTCTCAGGACATGAACCCAGGACCTTTCCATGTGGATCCAGCTGCACCACCACTGCAGCAGTGCCTGACCCTCAAATTAATTTTTAATTACACGGGTTGCTCACGAATACATGTTCCGTGTAAACATTTGAAGATTTTCTGCCTAAACTGAACTTTGATCTCCTCTTGTTTCAGAAAAGGAGATTGAGATGCAGCAAGAAGGGCCAATCAAAGGCACAGGCCCGAGCCCAGGTTATCCGCGTGGTGCCCTGCACACCCGCCCCGGGCTGCCCGGCTCCGTTCTCTCCCTAGATAAGGAGACAGCCCAACACCACCCTCTTGGCAGGCAGTCAGAGCGCAGGCCTCCCCCCTGCCACAGCCTTCCCTTTCCTGGGGCACAGCTTCACAGGTCCTGCACCTGCCCCCCACCCCCCGACCTGCTTGGGCTCCTCCGCCTTCCCGGGACTCCTCGCCAGGCCCCCTCGTACCTGGTTCAAGCTTGGTTTTCATATAGGCTTTGTCTCTTCTTGGACTTCAGCTCCTTCAGCCTTACCTGAAAGCACAGAGCCAGTGAGGCGCACACGGGTAAGGATCCCCAGGGCAGGGGCCGAGCTCAGAGATGGCGAGGACGCCCGTGTCCCCTGTGAACGTGACTGATAAGCGAGTGCCCGGCCATAGGGGACTTTCGAATGAACACAGTATATCTGCTCCATGGACTACAAAGTCATCCTACAGGAAACACTGCCCAGCCTCCCGCTCGTTGCCCAACCAGCCGTGCATCCTCCCGTCTCTCTATCCATGCAAGTGTCTGCAGTCATTCATGTCACGTGGCACCTCGGCTAGGCCATGGTACTTGATGGGACATCAGATATTTGATGGGAGATTATTCTAGATGTTTTGGTAAAGTGTTTTTTTTTTTTTTAAGATGGTTAACATTATTTAAATCGGTAGGCTCTGAGTAAGGCAGATGACACGCCACAAAGTGGGTGGGCCGTAACTGATCAGTTGCAGGACTTAACAGGGGAAGGTTGGCCTCCTGGGAGGAAGGGGGGTTCTGCAGCAGACTGCCTTTCAGACTTGAACTGCAGCTCTTCTCCGGGTTTCCCACCTGCTGGCCTCCTCTGAGGATTCGGAACCTGACAGCACTCACAATAACATAAGGCAATTCCTTAAAACCAGCCTCTCTCGTGTGTCTCAGATGTGTGTTAGAAGCCTTTCTTCCGCCTTCGTCTAGCACAGAAGTCAGAAAGAAGGCACGGCGGTAAATAAGAGGGAACTTTAACAAGTTCAGGGAAAAATGAAATGAAGGGCTGTTTACTTTGGTGCCCCAAATTTCTGAAATTCATACACACTGTTTTCTTTTATTTTCTTTCTTTCTTTCTTTTTTTGCCAGAGGGCATGTGTGCTCACCAGAGAGAGAGAGAGAAAGTGGGAAATCACCCCCGAGGAGGGACGGCCACACTGCAACCCCTTCTCCTCCATTCTCCTGTTGGAATTTTGGGCACACATACACATGTACCCGGCATGAATTTTGAGCCACCAGGCCCAGGACACGAACCACAGTAGACCATGTGGGAGTCCAGTGCCTTAACAACTATGTCACTTGCAAGTCCCCCATGCACAGACTTTTCATAATACAAATTTTCATGAACTTTTAGAAGATCCCTCATGTTTTCAGCTTTGTGGGCTCTAGGCTGTCTATTCTGAATACTTAACTGTGCAGCTGAAACTCAAGAGCAACCACAGACAACACGTAGGTCATCTTTATTTACAATACAGGCCGTGAGCTCTCTGTCATGGTACGACTTTAGTCTCACAGGTAACCCCGTCCCTTCCTGGGCTAACAGTCCTCAGAATCCCACTCCCCTTTCCTGAAGACTCCTTCACACAAGGCCCCACGTGAAGGCCTTCGTACAGACACTTACTCACCCTCACGGCCACCCAGAAGGTTCGGGGGGTGAGGAACTTTGTTTTACAGATGAGGAAACTAAGGCTGAGGAGTCCAGTGGCTTTTCACAGGTCACACAGCTCTTAAGGGGCCCAGGTGGACTGAGGGCCTGGGTGTGTGAAGTGAGGGCCCGACGGCCCTGAGCCTCCACCTGCAGCTGCTGAGATGCCTCAGTCTGAAGCCTCGGTGTGGGGAGGGAGCTGCAGTACCCAACTCCGCGTGGAGTCCACCTCGCCCCGCCGCCGGGACAGCAGCTCCGCAAACTCTCCTGAGTTCAGCTTCTCTGTTCCACCCGTCTGTGCCCCTGGACCCAGCTCCCCGGGTCTTCCTGATTCTCCAGAGACAAAGGAACCTCCCTGGAGGGTCAGAGGAGGGCGGATCCTCAGTTTCCCCCCTTGCAGAGGGCTACATTAGATCAGTAGTTTTGCAGCCACAGAGCCTGGGTTTCTGTGTGGGAGGTGAAGGGAAGGGGGAAGGCAGGCCCCTGCACTATTGAGTTTTTAGGTATTAGCACGCTGAGGGTTCACCCCAACAAAGCTCCTGCTGCTGGAGGAGAAACTGGGTTGAAACTCTCCTTCCACTCGGCTCTGGGACCCACACAAGCAGCGCTCTGGAGCCCATGCACTGTGGGAAGGGAGGACCCTCTCCCCAAGACCCTCACCTCTCGTCCTTCTCCATGCTGGAGGGCAGCACGCGGCTGCCCAGGGCCCCCGGCTGGAAGGGGGATTTGGGGGTCTTGGGCTGGGGGGCCCAGCTGGGGGTCTCGCTGGGACTGTCCACCTCGGGCCTCTTGTGCAGCTGAGCCTGGGAAGAAAAAAGAGCCGAGTCTGTAAAGCGCCTTTTGTCCGGGGATGGGCCTCATCCGGTGACACTGGCGGCACGAGCCCTCTGAAAGCCTCGGGGCCCCTGAGGCTGAATGGGCACAGCGGGAACCACGGGGGCTGAAAAAACTCAGGGTCAGGGCGGCACCCCCAGTAGCCCTCATTTGGCCCATCCAGATGGAATAACCACTGAAACCCACGTCAGTGTGTTCTCTTCTTTTTTACTTACGTCCTTTATGAGCGAGAGAGGAGAGAAAAAAAAAAAAAAAAAGCAAGCGTCATCAACAGCACCCCATGCCACGATCCCCAGCCTGGTCCTTCCCAGCCAGCCCGGATCGCAGGAACACGCACGTGCCTGGTGTGTGCAGGTCAACCTAGGAACTGAACCCTGACCTTTCTTTTTTTTTTTTTAATAATTATTTAATTTTATTTATTCATTCATTTATTTTCATTTGACCAGAGAGAGATACACAGAGAGAGAGAGAGAGAGAGAGGGAAAGTGAGAAAGCAAGCCACCAGGTCCGGTATTTGAACCGCAGTCAGCCATGTGGAAGTGTCCAGCGCCTTAACCACCACGCCCCCTGCTGGTCCCCGAACCCTGACCTTTCACATGGCCTCCGGCACCACAGGGCACAGCACCGCCATGGCTGACACACCTGTTCTCTTTTGCTGAAAAGTCACTATTTTTTTTAATTGCCAGAGGGCTCTTGTGCTCCCCAGAGAGAGACAGAGAGGGCGAGGGAGATAGCACCCCTCGATGGGGAGTGGTCATGCTGCAGTCCCTTCTCCATTGTGGTCTGGGGGGTGCGTGCACACACACACACACACACACACACACATGCCTGGTGGCTACCATTTAAACCGCAGTTAGCCATGGGGGATCGGGCTCCCTTAACCACTAGGCCATGGGGCTGGTCCAGACATTTAAAAAGCCACTCTCTGTAGTGCTCTCAGCACATGACCATCACCTCTCTCACCTTCCCGACAGTGCTAGACAGAGACAGTAGCTCCACCCTCCAGCCGAGGCCCGGCTCCACTGAGTTCCATGCTCCTGTGTATCCACAGAAATAACAGGACGTTTCTGGGGCCAGCAAATGCCATCGCTGTTACATGGCTGGACTTCCACATGGCTGACTGCGGTTTGAGTCTCGAACTCATTGGCTTGAAAATCGCACCGGGCATGTGTGTATGCATGTCCGAGATGCTGGGAGGAGAAGGGAGGCAAAGAGATTATGGTAAGGCCATCCTTCCTGGGGGGTGATTTCTCACTTTCCCTCTCACTGTCTCTGTCTCTCTCCCTGGCAAGCACACATACCCTAAGGCAAAAACCTATCAAAAAAAGCCCTAAGAGCAAAAAAAAAAAAAAAAAAAAAGCAAGTTTCTGACTGCCAGTTAGATTCTCACTGGACAAGGATGGGGGCATTTTCGGAGGGCATGTTGGGAATAGAACGATTTAAGATGGGGTGCACAAGAACCCCGTGGGGGCCCAAGGTGAGTGGCTGGGGGGG